TCACAGGCTCTGACAGCAGGAGAGTGTAGATGGGATTAGAAATAGGTTCCCGAATGAGGAGCATCCACCAAGATGGCATAAAATCAAAAGATGAAAGAAGTATCCACGAAGGCAATGCTGCCAAGAACCTGAGCTCAGAACTGATACCATTCCATGCAGAAGGCACATGCACTGCCCTTGATCTGATACTGTCAGCTGAATCCACACCAGAACCCCTTTCCAGGCAGACATTATTGCAGCACAGAGAGAGAGGTGCAGTTTTACTCCTATCACATTGCCAAACCACAACATTTTCTCAGAACACAGCACATCAAATAGTAAGCTCTACAGGTTTGTACTAGACATTTATGAATGGGAAGAAATTTCTGCATAGAACAATTACAGGAATCTACAGCCTTTTCATTCACTGTGCATCCAAACACGTATTGGCATGCAAACAGAAACAAACGTGTGGATTACACATGGATGACAAAACTCAGTCAGAGTTACTGTTCAAGTAGATAGCTCACTGATCAAGAAGGGTCCTACATCTGACTGATGGCACACCTAGAGATGAAAAGTCATTTCTTAATAACAAAGAGGAAAACTTGGTTTGTCAAGGGGAGAAAGTCAATGGTAACGTGCTGACAGTGTATAAAGTCAGACCATTAACTTGAGGGAGAACTCCATCAATAATTTTCAAATCCAGAGAAATAATGAATGACTATCATCTGAAGAATAAGCAGCTGTGCCAATTGTTCATTTCAAACCCATAGCAAAGAAGTCTTTAGATGATGCTAGACATATTTAAAAAAAAAAAAAAAAAAACAAACTTTACCTTTACAAATTAATTGTAGTAAAGATGGAAAACCATGATTTTGTTTCTTACATGAACACACTATAGAATTCGATAGATGGATTTTCAGCCATCTATCTGAAGATATATGACAAATACTTTTCTTTACTTATTTCCTAATTTTCTGCTTTCCAGTCTGTGGGATTTTTCTCTGAAATTAAATTGTGGTCAGGATATTCCAGTGAGCCGGCACTGCTGTGTGAGCTAAATAACAGATACTGGGGCATGGCTTTATCTTCTTTTTTTGCCTGTTCTCCATGTCATTTCTTCCTGTGCTACTGGGTATTTGATGACATGTCAGAGAGGTGCAGGTTATACTTTACTTCTTTCTGAAAGAAGTGCTAGGTTACTGATCCATTTATAATGCAGTAAAATTAAATGAGCTAAACACTTCAGCATTAAAGTGATTTTGTTGTGTAATAGTTAAATCTATTAGAAAAGCTCAGTGCATTACTTTCATAATCTTTTTTTTTTTTGTCAAGAGAACCTGTTTATCAATCCTAACCCCATMAACAAACATGCCAATGCTATCACTTCTCTGATACTCATTTATCAGTATTGACACATTTTATCAYATCGCTCTACAGGTTTTTTATCTTTTAAAATCTTAAATACCTCTAGTTTTCCCTCTGTAAAACAGTCCATGAGAGAGTACTGCTAGCAACAGGAAGGGACATACATATTTAGGACCAATAGATTTGATAATCAAGTATTAAAATGAAAACAGAAAGCTTTCCAGTACAGAATCAATGCACAGGATTTTGCAGTGGGTACAGAGACACCTGTACAAGGAAGCACTAAGTCACATGTGCACACAAAAGCAAATATGTATGAAGGAAAAATCATCATCAGAGTCAACCAAACTCCCCACTATTACCAGGTGAGATTTCCTTCATCCCTCACCCCCTGACAGGCAGTATTTTGTAACAAAAACTTTCACTGGAAACAAGCATCAAAAAATTCTCTACTTTCTTTTCAGGTAAAAAAAGATACCTAATGTTTCTTTTTCCATCTACATACTTATAAGTTGTTATTAACCTTCACATCCTCTGAGAAAAGATGCTTGGGTTTAATAATTTATGTCCTTTAACAGAGCTTTTGCTAACTGTGTAATGCATACAATCACTCCTCCTCTATCCTGTGAGTTCTAAACACGGCGACAAGGGCACYGTCTCTCAAAGTCACACAGACCATCTGACCAACTATCAGAAACCAACAGACAATCATGCAAATTCCTCACCATCATGAATTCCCCTGGTTGGGAGAAAAAAAAATGCCAGGGGGAAGAAACTCTCATTTCTATCTGTTCGATCTTTACTACAACATGCCTCTGTAGATTTCCTCTGTATAATTAAAATGTTCTCCCTTTAGGTTCACTTTATTTTCTGAGGCAAAGATCTTTATCASTCTAACCATAGAACTGGTGTGAACATATGTATAGCATTTCCACTTTAAAATGTGGAATAGGACTTCAAAAGCTTTTTATTTGTTGTAGCTGCTGTGCACTACATATTTGAAAAAAAAATCACAAGCAGCTTTTCGAACTCAGTAAAGCCATTTAAGGACAAAGAAGAGAAAATAGCTACTGTTCTTTTGGGTCCTCAAGGACTGTGGAGCCACCACAGTCACTGATTTTTTTTCTCATGCATATTGACAAGAAGGATGAAATTAGTTTTTGCAGTGCACAAATGGCTTGGCATTTGGAACTGCCATGTGAAGCACTGCCTTGGTTAGCAAGGCCAAGGTCTTGACATGGATTACCTCCATTCACAACCATAAATATACTGGGATAACAGATACTTTTATCACAAATTTACAAAAAGATCCTTTTCTACCTCAGCAATAAATTGACTTCAAGTGATAATTGGTTGTATTAATTTGTGGTGCCTCATAGAGTAAATAGGTGTGAAAAAAACAGCTATGGGGAACACAAATCAATCATGTTTCTGAGTTTAGGAACAAGCACTGAAGCAACCATACTGTAAATTATTTTACTCCCCTTGTCTCAGAGTGAAGGTCATTTCTGACTTAACCAGTCTGGAAAGTAGTGTCTTTCAAYAACTTTCCAATTTTTGAGGTGTTTTCTACTTCTCCACTTACCAGAATGCCCTTCTGGAAGAAGAAAGCAGCTTTAATGTGATCTATTTGGAATATAATTATTATGAAACATAGATCTTACTAGGACTGGCAGGATACTGTCCATCATATTTTTCATGGTAATCACCAGCCTCGGTCTCTGAAGTGACGTCCGGTGATAGAGATGGAAATTCGTTATCTGTATGGTGATGGAGAAATCATTACTGTTTCATCAGCTGAGATGCAATACTGTACTCACAAGTACTTTAACTATTCTACACTTCATTCTTCCTTTTATTGGTCCAAGAGAGAAGAAAGATGCAGACCCCACACAGGTTTACCTTACTGACATAGTAAGGGTTTCACCAAAACAGATCATTTGAAGAGGATAATACATTACAGTGACAATGAACATTCTGGCAGTGATCTGTTCATGTAACACAAGATCTTGTTGTACCTGTACACCATGTGGATGGGGATTCTGGAGCAATGAGGGAGGTTATTTGTATTCACCTCTACTGAGATGTATTCTGAGATTTAGCCCCAAAATCCAGACTATGCATGAAAGCAGAGCTGATAACACTTGTAATGGCAATCARCTGAAATACACACAGCACACACCTTGGGGAATGTGGGGAATGTTTCTGATCCTATCTCCTCAGCATCAAAGTTAGGATTTACCTTTTCTGATGCTAGCTACATGTCACAAGAAACATAACCTGTCATGAGTGCTTAGAGGATGACTTCTACCTGTACCCCTTATGCTGAATRGGAGCTAGTCTTTCAGACCTCTGATGATCTCAGCCACACAASCAACATAAAAGATTAAATTAAATATGTAGAAAAGAATATGCCATTTATATTTGGCAGGGCCCCATGAAATCAGTGGCAACCTACTGTCCTTACCATAATCTTTTCCAAKAATTCCTTTTTCCCCTCCTCCAGAAGTATGATCTGGCAGCTGTGAGACCGGAGTAGGGCTTCCATAATATGAGGGGCTGGATCTCCTGATGGAGGTATCCACGGGAGTTGTCTCATGAGTGGATCCACTGCCTGCGTTCTCATCATCCACCCCTGAGGTTGAGGATTCTCCGCCGCTGTGGCGCGTGCCATCGGCGTTGTAACGGGAGCCATCTGCATTGTCAATGACTGGAAACAGAGAATCAAACTGTGAACATCCAGGAACTCACAGCTACGATAAACACTTGTGGATTCATACCAGTTCATCCATTTTTGCCCTCCTATCTAACCCAGATTATACATCACTAAAACACGTCTAAGGTATATATGCTAATTTATGTATTTGTCACATTTCTAGGGCCTACCTTGCATCACTTATTTCTATCAAACTGCTTGATTTGAACATAAAATCTTGGCATTTGTAAAGGCAACGAGAATTTTAGAATTGGAAGAAATAATTTATTAAGAGTGCTGTTTTCCGCTTCCAGAAAACACGGAAAATTTATTACAAGCGCTCTTTTCCACTGCTTTTCAAACCAACAGCTCAAATCAGATATAGGAAGGTTGCTGCCATAAGCAAATTCCTTTATTCCAAAGAGGTATTAGGAGCTCTGAGGTGCCAAAAATGTCAAATACCTATATAAAAAATGTTTGGTAACCTGAGAGAAACCGAGATCCATAGAGTTAAGGGGAAGACAAGTGACTAGTTGCATTAATTTCTATTAAACACCTCTTAACTTCTTTTTCTCATGCTTASCTTGTTTTGTTTGTTTTGTTWTKTTTAATACTAGTGATTGTTTATGTAAAAWTAAGATAMCTAGATACTGCAAATTAAGCAAATGCATGTCCTTGTAATCACCACAGTACCTGTTTCATCCTGATTACTGAGTAAAGAAATATCTATTCTTTCAACTGGCTCACATGTTTTTTCCTGTGTTTCTGTGACAGAAAGAAAATAGAAAGTGTTAATTTGAAAAAATGGATTTAGAAAGTCACATTATTATGTCAATTGAACATCATAATCACAAAACAACAGCTTTACATGAGGACAATTGAAAACAAACTTCCAAACAAATTTTATTCATTGAYGTATCAGATGGGGCACTTTGAGATTGTTCTGTCAGCCAACAATGAGATTCACCATTTCGATAACCATTGCAGAAAATTGTTGCAATCAAAAGCAGCTAAAACAGCCTCATGACCCAGTTTCAGTGCAGGCAGATTCATGTCACAGTGGCAGTGGCCACTCTMATCCTTTTTAGCTGGAGAGACTCCGTCCTCTCATGGAGAGCTCTGCACAAGCAGCGTTTGCCCTGCTCTGGTGGGCACTGCTGGCTCCTGACAGCTGCTGTACGAGCTACCTGCCCCTGCTGCTGGAAGGGAATAACACTGGGGAGGAGTTCCAGAGCTCTGGAGGGGATGGACATCACTACAGCAGTCATCTGTGAACAGTCATGTGTGAGTGACACAGGATGGCGACTCATGTGACATCATGCCAACGCAAAGATTTTTAATTGTATCACCACCAAGAAYAAAATCAAAAAAATACCACTGCCATTCAAATCATCAATGAACTTGCCTACAGCTTTCTGTAAGAACTCTCTGCTTCCATTAAGAATGTCACAATCTACTGAAATTCAAGATCCTTGATTTTATTTTCCGACAGTGTGTTTGGCATCTGTCACGGACTATATACACTTTCCTAATAATTTACTAAAATAGTTCCAACTACTAAAAAGTTCAAAACCTTAGATGAAAGTGGTCTGCTTCTGACCACATTGCTGTCCAGCTGCCTCATGTCTGAATGGAGATTTGCCTGAGCAAATGTTGAATGCAGCTGCAAACAGGAGAGCAGTGGCCATGTCCATGGGATGGCCATCACAGGCCCTGGAGCTGCAGCAGGTGGCAGCCACTCCTGATATTCCATAAAACACAAAAAGCTGCTCTTGGCTGTGAAGCTCATGTGAGCATGAGCAGAAGAGCTGAGTGCCACGCCTGACAACACTTATGTCTTTCAGAGTCACTGCTGCAGCGGTTCACTTCACTAAGCCTTTATAATGAGCTCTTCCAAAGCTGCTAAGTTTGTCCCAAGGCCAGAARAATGATTTAGTTCAAAACACACCAATAACAAAAAGGTCCATTGCTGGCATGACAGATAATCTAGAGGCTGACAAAATGCACTCCTCAGCTGAAAACCAGGTTGTATTTATCATACAAGCCCTCATTCCAGTAYCTTAAACAGGAGATTACTTATATTATTTTCAGTTAATCTATTTCTGAAATGCATTWTAAAATCACTCCTTACCTGTTGCATTGTAGCAGTAAGCATCATACCGATCAGTTGTGTTTGCTGGAAGTCTGTAAATGCCAGTTTTATTTGCTGCACAAAGATGGTAGGGATTGATCCGAGGGATAACAACATACCCCACTACAAAACCATACCTGTGAAGAACAGAGGTAAAGAAACCATTTTACTTACTACAGCAGATGTCACCTAAACATYGAGAGGTTACATAGAAGCCATTATTTTTTAAAAGTGCATGCTCTTATTCATACTGTTTTGCTGCTTTCTTTTTTCCTTTCTCATTTGTGTCTTCCTTTCTCACATGTAGCCACATCAATCTCCCATCACCCAACATCATTTTGTGTGTAATTCTGAGAGGTAAACCCATTTTAACTAAGTAAGCATCTTATTAGCTAGATCAGTTGTGATCAGGGTGATCAGAGCAATGGAGTGAAAGGGAGGGAGGCAAGCACACTTTTTGTTCAGTGTGAGTTTGTATCAGCTGACACTTMATTCCCCTTCACGTTTTCATCGCTTTGACATAAGATACTGCTCAGTGACACTTGAAATGCTGGGGGCTCAATTTATGGTACCTGAACAAGTTTAAAGAATGATTGCAACACAGCATTAGTAGTGAATTTTCTGCAAAAACTGACAGCCTAGTCAAATAYTCAAATACAAGACTCATTCATCCACAAATTGTTGCTGTATCTTTCAGTTGAACAACGTGATTATTGTGCACAGAGCTCACATAATTCAGTGAAGACCGTGGTTACMTAATGTACAATACATTATTACTATTTTGCAATCCTGTAACACCTGATTGATTCCAACGTATTTAAGAGGGAAATGTTTTAGAATGGTAACAAGAAAGAACTGGGGTCTGGTTTAGGCTTTGTTTTACTTCTTGAGATGTTCGATTTATCAGGGAGGAGTAAATGTCACAGCTTTGCAGTTTYTTATCTATGAAGATCATTGCAGTTTCATGTCTGATGTGCAGATACTTGCAATTCTGAAACTCTCTTGTAGGTGGAATAATAAATTACTTTACTCACACTCCCAACTGAGCTTATAATGCTGACACTTTACAAACTATTACTGACCTACTTGTGTTGTGTTCTGTGGATTCATCYTATTCATATGCATTTTGATGATTATATGCAGCATATTTTCCCTGTTCTACTCAAGTTTAATAAGAGCTAAGGCTTACTGACAAGGGCTACTTCTAAGATCAACAAATGAAAGCAATAAGGTGGGAGGGTTGGCCAGAAGGAAGGGASGAAGAAATCCTATTTACATGGCTTACATGTCCAAATCTGTCCTCTGGTAAATTGTGAATTAGGGAAAATTGTAACATTAATGAAAAAATACAGCTTGTTCCTGAAAAAGAAAAATCTACTCTTCTTTTTTTTTATATTTTAACTTTAGAAAATACTTTCCATATTTTAGAATACTCATAATTGCTAGCATAGAAGTCTCTACCCCTRGGCACTATTTAGGATTTGCTCTCTAACTACTGTGCAGTGCTGGGCAATTCAGAATGCTGTGTACATTCATGTGCTAATGTCAGAAAAAGAACATGCCTACTGCATTATGAAGGAYTTTCCCCTCAGAGTAAAGAACTGTTCCTAGTCATTATGTGGTACAATTTTAAATTACATTCCCACTTCTCACGGAAGAATCCTCTAAGAATTCTCTGTCCACATATTTCACCACCACCAGACTTGTGAAAATGAACATGCCAGAACAGGAAATAGTTGAAAGCAGTATCKATGTCAATACTATTTCTCATGGTACCACAGGGAAAGTCTTAAAATTTTGGGGAAATGTCCATGGAATTTTTCTATGCCAGTCAGAAGATAAATTCCATTTCTCCATATTTGCTGTTTAAGTTAGATTGCAATAAGGTTGAAGATCTTCTGACATTTATTTAAACTCCATAATGGTTTGCCAGCATTAATCTCCTGTGCTGCAGTGATTACGCACTGGCCAAGTTTGCAGTCCTGAGGGAAATTCWTCTGTAACTTCTAGTCTCTTGGGCTAGTTATTTTTTGAGAAACTRGAGAGTCTGTATTATCCACATTTGTTGCCCTATACATCATTAATCACTGCAGGTAATTAAGTCACTTGGTTTTGTTATTTTTAATAACTACCATAGCTGCCTTCTGACACATCTCCACTCCCAGGCTGTAAGGATGCACTGACACTGGGACCATTTTCCCACTGGGATGTCAAGAGTTGACCCCTCACAGCATCACCTGGTGCTTTTTRCTGCTCCTTGGCAAGACAGAGCTGCACATACTGCACACATGAACCTCAGTCTTTGACCTCACATTAGGTTCTTACTTAGCACATACTTATCTAACCAATTATTCAGTGACACAGTATGATCTGAACAGCTTTCTAATTAGTTTATTATCCTGTCAATCTTTGATTACCTTTAGATTTTATCTGTGAGAGGTTAAGATTTGGTTTTAAGATTAATGGTAAAAACTATACGCATCAAGGACTGGACCCAGAGCCAACATACAAATGCACAAAGATTTTTTTTTTCATTACAGAATATAACTTRTTTAACTAATCTGAACAACTGCAGTAAGTCAAATGTAACTATTACACTATATTTTCACAAATTTCTCTACCTGCAGGTTTCAAATCCAAGCTCATGAGCTGTCCTCAGCTGCTCTAGTGTTGCCAAGGTGCTGTTGAGAGCTCTGCAGAGTTCGACTGCTTCAGATCGTGTGAGACTGTAGCGACCATTTTTCTCSACATGAAAAACTCCTCCGTATCTGCAGCTTACATTGAATTCTGTTATCAAAGGAAAAGAAAAAAAAATCGTTAACAATTTAGACCTAATGCTTCACTGAAGGCCTGGAAATTATTTTCAAGTATAACGCTCTCAAAGCAAACCAGCCACAAGTAACAGATATCACTTAATTCAGAAAAAGCACTACCACTTTCAACCAACTTCTCCATACTTCCACTTTTTGGGCTAAGGCACGAGCCAAATCTCCAGCCTTTCTAAAAATAACAATGCAGCATGCTTTTGAGAGGCATCTAGCACTTTCAACACACCATCAACACTAATRAGCAGAAGAAAGAGTTAATAATAATATCAATACAAATAAGAATAAACATGTGCGTGGAGAAAAATGGGGAAAGAACAGGACACTTCAAAGCAATGTAAATTAACTTTGTTTCTGCCCCACCTTTCCCTCAAGAGAAAAAAAGCAGTTGCARCTCCAGACTAGAATGACAACTGCAGAGCACACTTCATAGGAGTAGCTATTATTTCCAGTGCAGAGAGGAGCATGACTCATTTTTATCTCAATTTTAATGGAAGTTCCATGTGCAAGAATGGGAAAAATAGACCAGTCTTCTCCAATATTAGAAGGGTGTGTCTGCACKGCCTATTTGAAAAGAAGGATGACATATAATAACTGTTTTTCGAAAAGACACCAAACACAGTTCATGCACATTTGCATTGACACATTCCATATAAATAATGAGCACCTTTCTTAGTGAAACTTTGGCTTGACAGTCTATTTTGCTCCRTAGCATAGATGTGAAAGCCAATGATGGTAATCAAGGAATGCACTCTTTCTTCAATTACTTTTTTGCCATTGATAGACYGATGTTATTCTGTGTACAGGGTATTTACCCAGTGTAAACTGCCAGGAACACTCCTTTCCATAGCTCACAGGAAACACTCAAGGAKATAAAATATCAGATTAGATCCAGACTAAGTGATGCATAAGAGGACAGCCCCTGTTCACAGCACAGGTAGGGGTCCAATGATGTTGATGCTTGTTTGTCCAAAGGAGCTTAAGAGCTGTGCATCCAAACTTGAATACTTGTACTGTTGGCAACAGAATTAATCATTACGGCTGCCTGGACAGACTTTCCACAAAAAGAAWGGAAAAAATGCCTCTTCTCCCACCATTCCCTYTCYCCMRGRWTKKKG